TATCTTTTCAAACTGCTAGCTGGCTTCGAACGCTCTTTAGGCTTTAGATATCTTGAATGGAGTTACGATTAATCCAGTCTCTGAACAATGTTTATGTAAGATTGGACGCTAAAAGATTTTCTTTAGAAAAGGTGGCGCATCGTTTCCTCTCTCAAACTACCATCAAAATGATTCAGGAACATCGTGAAAAGCTGATTTCCTTGAATTTGGTCGGCGACACGGTTGGACTCATCCACAGCATGCGAAATAAGGGCCGTTCAATTTTGGTTGAAGGAGCCAATGGGGCCCTCTTGGATATTGACTTTGGTAGTATATTTTTATTGTCCGCTTTTCTATTTTTCAAGAATACATTCGGTTAACGGATTGTGGTTACTATCAATCGTCTAGGAACCTATCCATACGTTACGTCATCAAATGCTACTGTTGGTGGAGCTTGTACTGGTCTTGGAATACCTCCCACTGCCATTTCTCAGGCTAGTAAAACACAAAGGCCTACTTTCGATTGCTTGGAATCTTTGATATGAGCCGTCTTTTTAGGTCTTTGGAGTTGTGAAAGCATATCAAACACGTGTAGGTACTGGTCCTTTCCCTACAGAATTGAAAGATGAAATAGGAGACCGTCTTCAGTCGATTGGGCAGGAAGTAGGAGTCACTACTGGGAGAAGAAGGAGGTTAGTAGCTCTACCTCCTATTACTTCTCACAATAGCAGTTGGAACCTATTTGTAGATGTGGATGGCTCGATTTGTTTTTGTTGCGTCGTAGTGCTCAGATTAACGGCTATACAGCAATTGCCCTCACCAAGCTGGATATTTTGGACTCATTCAAGGAGATAAAAGTTGCTACCGGGTATCGCCTCAATGGCGAATCTCTTAGCGCTCCTCCAGGTAAGCGCATCTTGTACGTTATACTTCACTTTTTTTCCATGGGCGATGTTTCTGTTATCGTTCNTCAATACTCCAGTACGATTCTGAATGGTAGTCGAATGTGAGGGCGCATCCCTCAAATGGGATTGATTGATGCCTAAAGACTTTATCCTTTTTTTATTTGGTCATCTGTTTACATTACCCAGAGTTTTAGAAGTACTCAAATACGTAACAATGGATCTAATTTTTACACATGGAAGCTAGCTGGCGTTATAGTCAAAGCTTTCCCGTACTTTTAGATCCAGTTTTAAAAATAGTCAGAAAAAATTGACTCTGATGCTTTGAATACGTACAGCCTATGAAGGGTGAGGGAGCAGCTCTTCTCACAAACTCTGCTTCTGATTTTTGCATCAGGCACATGGGCTTATTTTCTTGCTCATTGAAAATCCTTGCTTTCTACAGCCAACAGTATTATAATAATTGATATGTTCAGGAATTAAATCACAGATTATCGGACATTTATTATTTTAACTCTCCTCTTGTGCTATTTATAGCTCAAGCGGCCGCCTGGGATCGTGTTGAAGTTGAGTACAAAGTGTTCCCTGGATGGGAATCTCCGACGGTTGGCATCCGAACATGGGGAGATCTCCCAGAAAAGTGCCGTGAATACGTGCTTTTCATTGAAAGTTTCATCCAGGTAATGCTTATTATTTGTTGACTAAAATGATGCTAAACGAGGTTCTGTAGGACAGCATCAAGGGCGACTTGCCAAGGCGTAGGCGAACGTGCTCTTAATCTAGATTTTCTCAACCGATTGCTTCTATGGGAAACCAAAATTTTGGGAAACAGGTTCCCATTGCCATATTGGGAAGTTTTTCCCGATGTAATCGTCAGCTCAAGGCGATGGTAGTAGTATAGTGGCAAGTGGCGCACTATCTACATGTGTGGTGAAGGGTTCGAATCCCGGGTCGGTGTCCGCCTTGGCCAACCGAGCCTTCCATCCCCTGGGGTCAATCAATTATTACCAGACTCGTCTGGGAGGATAAACACATTAACCTGTACCTCAGCTGGCCACCGTAAGTCATTGTATCGGCCAAGTACCCACCCAGTGCGCCACTACGTTCCTGAATGAATGTCGAATGTGAGGAAACATCCCAAAACGGATTGATTGATACCGAAAACGTTATCCTTCATTCATCAGGTTGTTNCGTCAGCTCAAGGTAGTAGTATAGTGGCAAGTGGCGCACTATCTACATGTGTGGTCAAGGGTTCGAATCCCGAGTCGGGGTCCGTCTTGGCCAACCGAGCCTTCCATCCCTCTGGTTCAATCAATTGTTACCAAACTTGTCTGGGAGGATAAAAACATCAACGTGCACCTATACTTGCCACCGTAAGTCATTGCATCGGCCAAGTACCCATCCAATGCGCCACTACGTTCCTGAATGAATGTCGAATGTGAGGCAACATCCCAAAACGGCTTGATTGATACCGAAAACGTTATCCTTCATTCATCAGGTTGTTAACTTTTTTATTTCAGGTTCCCATCAGGTGGATAGGTGTCGGTCCCGATCGCGAATCTCTGATAGTTCGTGATGTTTAAACATATCGAGTAGTCAGTCGTAGTATTTAATCATTCGTATTGAGTACGTTTTATAAGTTTTATGAGTACATTTAATCAGCTGGCTGTTGATCAGTTTGAAAGCTTCAGAACAATACCTTAACTGTGTTTACTCGATCTTTGTTCTTTCGTTGTTTCGTCTAATCCGAAATTTTGACATTGAGATTCGTTTGTTATTTTTATCATCAGATTTTACGTTGTTATGTGACAATTAGCCTTCTAATCAGGAACACCACACGATGTTTACTAAACACTGGTTGAGCATGCATTATAAGTGAATAAAGAAACGAAAATGAGAAAATATGTGGTGGATAACGGTCCTTGCTGCCTGAGAGCGATGGAGATTTCGCTGATGTACTCGAACAGTTCATAAAATGACCATCTGCTAGTGATGTGCTTTTTTGCTTGCATTAACCGGAAACCAGTAAATTTTGATGGGAACTGGCACAAAATTTTAGGTTATTGATAGGAAAAAAGTGAGAGTTTCAGAAGAAAATGCGCTTAGTAAAATTATGGCGAGATATGACCTTGGGTAGGGACTTTGAAAAAATTGTTTTGTTCTGAGCATGTGATTGAATGGAAATCGAAACATACTCATAGGCAACACATCAACAATGTTGTGCACTAATGATCGAACACCAGCACAATTGACTCATCCGGCCAGCAACGACGTCCTTTGTTGTGTCACATGCACCATCACCATTTCGACATCTGTTTTCTGAAGTGGTNACGGTCAATAGTTGCTAGAAATTGCACCTATCATTTCGAATTTCTTCCCGGATCGATATCCTCCTAGGCCAGCCAAACTTTCCATCCTTCCGGGGTCGGTTCGGTTAATTGGAACCAGGCTCGTCTGGGAGTATAAAAGGCTGACTTGTATGTTGGCTGGCCACCACACGTCAGTGCATAGGCCACATACGCATTCATTACGCTACTATGATTCTGAATGGAAGTAGGATGCGTGGGCGCAACCCTTAGATGGGATTGATCAAGGCCCCGAGGTTTTATCCTTTTTATCCTTAATTTGAATTTATTAATGTATTGGGATTGAAGGCGTTTGTATTGCTCCGTAATGCTCTTTCTATGGTGGCTATTTGGTCTCTCAGAGATAGAGCAAAATAACACCCGCAAATATTTATAACCTGAAGAGAAGTTCTTTCACAAGAGCATCCAGGTGGGTAACTATGGTACCTTTATCTCATGTCCTGTGAAATTGCAGTAATAATTAGATCGTTCTCTGGAATAACGGGTTCACCTGATGACAGCCTAACAGCCAGCTATATCCGAGATATTGGGTATCAGGATCAGGATCCTAAGGATCTATGTGTGCATAGAGTTCCATGAATGGGCACCCAGAGATGATCAGGTACGGGACGCAACAGAGAACGAGATTGCACGAGTGTGAGTCATCTCATGCTAGCGTTCAATCATTATTGCACAACATTGCGAATGGTTTACCTATAAATATCCTCGAATATTCTGCTTTATCAATGGTAATCCTAGACATGGACACCATCGTATTTTCCCATTTCAACCCTATTTTCACATCTGTCCATTTTGACTTCTGTTATTCTCATTTTCACTTAGACCATCTCCCTTCGCCACAATCATCCATATCAGCTGGATGTTACCTATTTCTTCACAAACTATTATATTATATGTATATATATATTTCCGAATTAACCCTCTCTTATGTAATGGGACCTCTTTACTCAGTTAGGAGCTGTCAACAGAATCCCCTCTTCGAGAACGTTCCTCCGTCTTACGTCTGAATCGGCCACCCAGCTGCCAACACCACCTGGACTCCTTTGAAAATGCTCATTACGAAGGAGTAGGATGGTGCAGGAGCACGTGTAGGATAGCTGATGTGTTTTAAGAGCTTGACTGAGATTATATAGATCGCTCTGTTGATTCGAAAACTAATTTCTAAACATTTTTGGAATTCCCTCTCCTCGCTTATCTGCTAGGTAAACCGATTGGTTTTTGTTGGCTATCGTGTACTTGGGCTCTTTGCGCAGCTGATGTGTAATCTCACACTGAATGCATCGTATCGAAGACCAAGTCAATTAGTATTTTTCGTGGCTACCGTTTCTTCACATCGACCAAACGTCTCCTTTGTCAGAGGCTTCAGAGCAAAGGGCCGAGCCGCGATGCAGTTCAGATGCCTGATTTGTCTCGAGCGCATACTGTTTTTAGCATAACTCTGGGAACATCGGCCCCTCTAATTCAGCATTGAGAATCGATTCGTCAAGAAAAACTTCTCCAGCAGTGGCGAATCGTTGAGCGCTTTGCAGTTTAGTGATACCACGTTTTTGTGACCCGTCGCTGAAGCGATTTGTTCGGGAAAACACACGCATGAAGTACCGAATATAAATTTTCGGCAAATTAACTGCAGGCTGAGAGGAAACATCGATATAATCATGCTTCTATACAGAAAAACTGGGTGGGGCTTTGTAATTCCTGCTGGGATTTCTGAAAAAAATTGCAAAAATGTAAAATTTAGGAAATATGGCAATGCTTACAAAGCTCTCCCGTTACCGCAATTGTTAGTAGCGAATTCGGAGCGCAATCCAGAAGAACGTTTCAAGGACATCGACTCGATCGTGTTCCCTTTTTAGTTGACCAAAATTAGATGCCTTCCTGACAACACAACCTTTCATTCTAAACATTGAAGGAACGCTTTGCTGCGAATTGATGTATACGAGCAGAAACTCTGAAGTAATTTGATAAAAACCGACGCTTGAGTGGAAAACGGACCGGACCACATTTGCTGTCTGAACGATTCAAGCTGGAAGCTAAAAACTGCTCAGCGTTTCTCAGCTCAGTCATAATCCCGTTTTTTGACCGTCTGAAAATATGCTCAGCGTTTCTCAGCTCAGTCATAATCCCGTTTTTTGACCGTCTGAAAATAATCGAATCGGCAGATGAGGCTTCGGAGCAGCGACAATCCCTGAATCCTATCTGCCTTTTCATGTTTTGCAAAGAATAGCATTTCTACAAAATTTCTTCTTTATGCCCGTTTCCTTGTTTCTTTTCTGTTCTCCTTTTCTTATTTTTATCCATTGGTCTTCTCTTTCTTCTTTTCTCAACATTCTTCACCTCAGAACTTCAGATTCTTTTCCTTAGAACTCAGAATGAAGATGGCAATATACTAATTAAGCTGTTACTCTGATGAGCCCATGATTTCTTTGGCCCAATGGCTCATAAGGTTTCCATGAGCTATATGTTGCAGATCTCGCCATTGAAGAGAAAAGGCTTACAGAGGCATTACCGTCGCTTTCTGATGAAGCTCAGTGAGCCAATTCTCATAAAAAAAATAACCTTCAATGCGAGCTAAGGTTCTATTCGTTATCCCCTGCCGAGATAAAATATCGTTTTTCAGATACAAGTGTAAAAATGTCGTTTGACGAAGTGCAGGAGGATTATTCTTTGTAAGTTTCCCAAACTGAGCTCACTCAGGCCCGAAGCTCATGAAAAATTAGAGGTTTCGAGGACTTCATGAAAATTCGAGTTTTAGAGCTCGCGATCTGGCAAAGAACTCAAGACATCCTCGAAGTTTTCGATGGCAACACAGAGGCAACGCCCTTCTTCAAAAGAAATTGGCTGACCAATTGGGCGTCTCCAAGACGATATACGACCCAGCTAATACCCTGAGTAATGTGAGTGGAGCTTCTACGTTGAGTAATACCAAAAAGAGATTTGAACAGAGAGAGATGGTCAAAGCTTTTTTCAGAGAGCCAAGAAACGTCTCCAGAAAGAAGAAAGTCTGAGTAATCTCCAGCCAGATGTGCAATATTCGCTAAACAAACACCAGCGATGGAAAACAGTAAGTTAGATTGGAAGCAAGTTTGAGTCGTACATCTACACACTTTGGTTGGCAATCAAAGAGCAGGGATGTTGGTGACGAGCAGTACTTCCGAAGGCACAGTACACGACGATAATAATGGTTCCTGAGATTCCCCCGCTAGGATGAATCTGGGGCCCAACAGTACAGTACATAGTACATTGTTAGGCTGAGAAGCTGCCTAGGCAGAGCTTAATGTGGATTTCACTACCGGTTTGGCCGACGTACAAGCTCCAAAAGTGGCCGTATTATGAAGGCCATGTTAAGACTGCACCATTCACAATGAAACGTTAGGACGCCAACGAATAGTACGCTCATGTGGGAGACACCCAGATGGTTAAAGACGGCAGCGCATTTGCACGGAATGTGCCAATAGACGCATTTTTATTATTTTTCGAGGAAACTGGTTTTTATGCTGCGAGCTATGCCATCAGCACATCAGTGGAAGGCTATTTTTGCCATGATTGACTTCTGTAGCAGGCTATATACGCTATTGCGGCAACTGGCATGTCGTCCAGTCCAGGCATGCCCTTTCTTACCGCTTCATAATCTTGCTCAACCCCTTTTTTACTACTTTTCGGGAGTCATTTATTTTTTTAATTTCCGATTTTCGCATTTCCTTCTCCACCTCTCACCGTACCTTCCAGTTCATTTAAACTAGATTCCTCGGCATCATTGTGCCGTGCCTTCAAGCTCTGGCATGCACACGAACTTCAGAGAAAACTTATTTACCCAACTTTTTGGTCTCAAAACGATACTTGCACAAGATAGACAGAATTCTTTACATCGTGGTTGTCCTCATTTTGAAAGAGCGCTTTGTATGGGAGGAATCCATTGAAGAGTAAGAAACCTCTGTGCCACGTCGAGTATCAGCTCCTGTGACTCCTCAATTCTGAACCTAATTGTCTTCATTTTGTAGCTCAGCGTTCCAACGTTGCTGGGAAACAATGGTCGCTCTAACCTTGAAGTACTCGTTGTTAATCGTGTCATCACACCTCGCCGTTAGTTTTCAGATTTCTTTTTTTGAAGTTTTAACACTTCCTGTTTTTCTGTGCTTGAAAGTGATCATCCATCTCAAAGAAAGAATATTTCTAAGGTCTGTCTGCTATCGAAAATCTTAATGTATCAGAAGTTTATGCAGAGGAAAATGGAGCTATCAGAACGATTTCTACAAAGGGAAAAGGACACAAGGTGAATTCCCTGAGTTCAGTGGTTGGCATTCCTTCGATATGTAGACGTTTTTTACCTTAGGTCCGAAATGACTCTTTCAGTACTCACATTTCCAAGCAGCATTGAGAGAGCGAAGAGAAGTGGACAAAGACGAAGTTGAGCCAGCCAGGATTCT